TTTTTTTACTCATTTTGCGAGCTCCGGTGTTTGTTTTTAGCCTAATTGGTCGCGTTACGGAGAAGCGTGGCTTGACGTGTGTCAAGCTGGACACAGACGGATGTAACGGAGAATCCGGTAAGTTTTCAAAATAAAACATCTTTCGTATTCCGAAATAAATAAAACGGAATTAAGGCAAGTTCTTTCTGTGCGGCCCGGTACCAAATGCCCGGCGGACCGGTACCGGTCCGCGGACCGGCGGTTGGGGACCCCTGCTATATATGATATTCCCTTTATGTGAAGAGACTTCTGATGTTCTGGATTGTTTTGGTCATTTTGACATGCTGTTCTCTGGGGTCACAACACCAATAAGTATTATCATTTGAGGTAATGTTAATAAAATACATTTTGATCTTTTTTTTTAATTTCTATCAACAGCAACCGACGTAGGAACTCGAGTACTGTATATTCAACGCAAGTGACGCACAGCGCGGAAAGAACACTGATTTAATATTCCGCGTACTCCTCTTCGCTTATTTGATTGTTTATATTCGTTTCAATTTACTCTATTCTTCTATTCTTTCTGACTTGAAATTCAGAGTTGTAATAATTAGTTTGAATATACTGTATTATTGAAAGTTAATTTTCATCCGATTTTTACCGCCCTCTAGAGTCTACGATGCACTTAGCATCTGCCTATCTCGCCTCATAATGGGCAAGCCGGCCCTGTCCACGGGCATCCCGTTGGTGACTCCAACAACGCATCATCAACACAAAGCAGAGCTTATGTTTCACCAGTGACCTAAACTGTTAAATTAACATAGGCTACATATTGGAAGGCGGTCTCACAGTGCAGAGGTGCAGGGTTCGATTCCGGCTCTGGCCCTCCTGTGTGAAGTTTGCATGTTTTTTCCGTGCCTGCGTGGATTTTTATCCGGGTACTCCGGTTTCCTCCTACATTCCAAAAACACGCATGGCAGGCTGATTGAGCACTCTAAATTGTCCATAGGTGTGAGTGTGAGCACAGATGGTTGTTCGTCTCTGTGTGCCCTGCTGGCAACTGGTTCAGGGTGTACCCCGCCTACTGCCTGAAGACAGCTGGTATGCTCCAGCACGCCCCGCCACCCTTGTGAGGATAAAGCGGTTCAGAAAATCGGTGGATGGATGGATAGTTTTACAAACTGTTTGTTCTGGTCACAGCTTTTAAAATAATTTTCATTTTTACTGTGTTTTGGAACGATTTTTTTCAATCTTACTATGAGTTATTTCATTAGTTTTCGGTAACTACAATAACCTTGAGCTGTGGATAAATTGTGAAACAGGTGAAAAGATGAATTTGCAAAACCAAAGCAATTTACTGTCCAATGCAGCATTTTCAAATACAATGTGGTGTCAATGTGTTACAATGCTCAAAAAAAAATCACATTACTAACCACATTCATGTATCTGATCATAATACTGTTTTTAAAATGAACACAATCAGGCAGCATTTAAATGTTTTATTCAAGAAACAATGGCAGTTTTTCAAAGTAAATTCAACGATAGGAAATGTGAAAAAACTAAAAACTTCTTGCAATTTTGTTTGTAAAACTGTTGCATGTAAAACATCAAACTAAATACAATTAGAATTCACGACATATTTTAAATGTTTATGTGTTCATGTCCCATTTGCTAAACTACTATTCCGTTCAATACAAAATACATTCGTTCAGACTGCAAACGGAAAACCATACAGGGTAAGAAACTTTCAATACAAATTCATTCTTTTGTTGTATAGTCTTGAATTCACAACTAAAAATGTAACAAATCCAGTAAAACTTTGAAAATGTTGATTTAAAAAAAAAAAAAACCTAAAGGTCTGACGAGCTCTGCTACCTTGCCTCGGAGTGTACATAAACGGTAGCAAGGGGCGACCAAGCCCCAATGACCAATTTCAAGTGTTCCAGAGTCCATCCATCCAGCAGGAGGCATCAAACATGTGCTTCACTCCCCTTGGGACTGTGCACACACTTGCAGATGGTATTTCCTCAACATTTCCAGCTGGGCAGTACGCACCAGAATGTGTGGTCTGACCAATGCCAGTTTCTGACATGCTTCCTCAGGGGTCCAACAGTGTAGCTGTCGGCAAACAAGTGCAACATCAAAAATCAACGTGCTACTGACCGCTAATAAGAACAAACAGTTAGGCTTCAAGAAGAGATGACAAATTTCACATTTTACAAGAAAAAAAAAAAGTAGTCATTGAGGCCAAGGGCGCTCAAAGGCAGAGAAAGGTCCTGATAATTCTCAGAGCCCAAAACAGACTTCATTTTTTTTTTGTCATAAGGATTTAGGCTTTGGAACTGAAATGTCACTGTTTGAGTACCATGCTTACAACAACACTAGTTGTTGAAGGGAGGCTAGTCTGTTTCCTGACAACTCAAGTGCCAACACTTTTCTCATTTTCCATGACTGGAAAATTGGCCAATCATTTTCCAGGTTTTCCAGGACGCGTGGGAACCCTGTTCTTTGTAAAGCTGAACAGACATGTATGACCATGATTAGAGGTGTCAAATAATCGTGTTAATTGCGAATAAATAATTACAGTCATATTTAGCATGTTATGTTTTTTAATCGCGTTAATCTAAATCTTTATTATCTGAAGCAAGTTCAGTGTTCAGTACTTGCATTGCTCAGAATAGTGTTCTTACCGTTTTTGATATGTCAACCTAAGCACTTTTTTATGGACCTGATGTTCTATTTTATTTTTATTTTGTAATTATTTGGACATTTACCAACCCCCCCCCCAAAAAAAAAAACATTGATATTCCCCCTGGTGGTCGAAATTAAAGGTTGCAGGTGTGACTTGGGACTCGTCTCAAATACAGCAGAAAGTATATGGCTTGGACTGCATCTGTTCAGGTCTGTTTAAAAAGAATAAAAGACTTTGTAATGCCACTTTTTTGTGATGTCATTCTTTTGATGTGCCTCAATAATGTAATGAATTTAAAATGAAAATAGTGGTTTTCTCAGCAATTTTTAGATGACATTAAAATATAGATTAATTAGATCAATTAATTACATATAATTAATTAATCAACCTTTTTTTTAATCTCCTGACAGCACTAGATAAAATCTCAATTTGTTAAAAAAAAAATGCAAACAAAAAGATGAAAGCAAACGTGTTACTTTCATGTTTTCTCAGATTCAAAAGAAATTCGGAACTGACCCGTATGAGGTATGCAGCAGCCAGTGTGGCACTGCGGGAACGTCCAGCCTTGCAGTGGACATAAACGCTGTTTCCCTTCTCT